GCTCTGTTCGTTCGTGTTTGATTCGTTTACACCCCTAATCCTAATCAACCTGAGTGAGAAAAGGAGTCAGAATGAAATTAACTAATGATGCGTGACTTTGTGGCTAATATCATATTTTCTGATAAACCTTTTTCTTTTTTTAGTTGTGAGATAAACAAGAAATAAGGGGATTGTAAAATATTGATGAACAAGTGCACTACATGGAATAATGGGATGGTAAGAAATTGATGAACGAGTGGACTACGTGTTGTAGCACTGATATCTGTCTCTATGCTGATTCAATGCTTTCGTTGGATGAAAAACAGACAACCTGGTGTACTCAAATGTCTGAGTGTTCAATTTTCTTCAAATACAGCCCTCACGAACCTAGGCTGTGTGATTACTACAGAAATTTACATCCTTTGGTTTAAATGTATGGATAGAACCGCACTGCTCCATTGCTTACATGGCACATGATTTACCAAAGCTACTTTGCTATTTTGCGTTAAGAAACTCAGCACTAGTGCTCCAACTTCTCAAAATTGTAAGAGGATGCTATGATGATCCATAAATAAAAATGATGTAAATTGTTAAGTGGAACCAAAATTTAAGTTAATTTGCGTGTTTTTATGGGAGCTATTTTCATTACTAACTTGTTTATTACATGTAGGTGCGAAAAATTTGCCAAACAATTGCCTTTTTGTCACCTGCAATTTGCATGACGCTTTCTTCTTTGGATCTAGGGCTGCCTCCTTGGGAAGTTGTAGTAGTACTTACTAGTGGTTTAGCACTATCAAGCTGTGCGCTATCAGGTGACCTTTTGATTTAGCTGATGATTTCTTTTTTGTGATCTGTTTCGCTGCGTCTTATTAATCATCTTTTTCGTTAATCTTTAAACTCATGTTTGGTGTCTTTGTAGGACTTTATTGCACCCATCAAGACATTTCTCCTGAATATGCTAGCATTCTTTTGGTATGTCATGCTGCAAATCATTCCCTTTCCTTAACTATTCTTTTGGATTGGAAATAACCTTATATGTAAATATAATTTTCTTGTTTAGAACTCCTTTAATCCAAGAAGGTTTTATGTTGTGTAATAGAATTTCTCATTTAGTGCATTTGATTTGTAGCCATCTTATAAATTGTAATAGACTTTGACAGCTATGATTCGATTTGTCTTAGGGTATTACAAACACAGTGGGGGCAGTGCCTGGAATTGTGGGCGTTGCGCTCACAGGCTATCTTCTTGACTTGACTCATTCTTGGGGTGTAAGTCATTCAATTTTGATTTTTTTTTTAATTCTATTTTTACCTGGTCCGGTTCTTTAAAACTTCTTAGCACATAAACTCTTTCCATTACCTCTTTTGCAGCTATCACTGTTTGCACCTTCTATTTTCTTCTATCTGACTGGCACAGTTGTATGGTTATTATTTGCCAGTAGTAAGCCTCAAAACTTCACCTAGAATGATTTCCTGGTTTTGCGATCGAATCGATGGATGTGCCCAAAATTTTCTTAATGGGTGATTCATCCAGGAGAGGTAGAGTTGAATGCGCTTGCATTGTCAATTCCTTAATTATGTTTATGAGAAATGGAAGGTAAAGTCAATCTGCTTTGTAATGTGAAGTTAGATGTAGGATAAAGAGGATAAATGTTGGGTAAAGAGGCTGTAATATATGTATGTATATATAACTTTTTTTTGCATGCATGTAATGCAGTATATATCAGGGCTGTATAGTTCTATAGAAAATGTTGTCCGGATTCATTTTTACGAAATACAATGAAAAGTACTATCGGTTGTAATTTTAACTCTTCATTTATTTAAATGATACTGCATCTCTATCATGTTTCATGCAATTCTACAGCTATTACCATAATGTTGAACGCCTTTCAAGAGGATTTAATATGATTAGAAAAGGCATGTTTGTTTAACACTGTCATGTTGTTATTTGGCCTGGCTGAAGATAGCTAAAGAGATATTTTTCCATTGCAATTGAAGTTCTTATTTGTATCATTGAGATTTATCACTAAGCAACTTGCCATCTCGTTGCTCTTTTTTTGACCTAAATTAAAATAGAAGATGCTTTCTTTGTTTTTTTTTAATATTTTTCAGTGTATTAGTTTTTCATTTGCATTGTTAAAATTAGATTGACAGGAAATAGCATTTTTTATACACATCTATAAAGTTATTGAAGTATTTAGGTACTGTATCATAAAACAG